AGTCTATTATGAACGTTGTTGTCATTTCAGACAACGGATGACTGTTTTTATTGTTAAACAAAAAAACGCCAAAGAGTCAAGAGACCTATATCCATTCGTATCAAAATATGTACATACAATGTTTATCTTTCTTTATCGCCTTCAATTTCAAGGAAACTTGTATAAATTACCACCGTTTTTTTTATATCTTTAATAAAATTTTACATACATAAAAGCTTAATCTTGACCAAAGCTAAGGTGTATTAACTTGAAAACGCCAAAAAAACTTTTCAAAGCACGTGTAAAATACGCGGCGAAGGTAGATTGTACTGGGTATTTTTTCAGAAAATTATAGCAAAATGTTTTTTTCAGCTTTTAGTGGAAGCTAAATACCCTGCAAACCAATGTTCCCGAAATCTTATCGAAATCTTTAGGAGTATCTTATTTTTGTACCGATTTTTTTACGAATCTTCAAAGAAAATTATATGAAGTGGTTGACACGAACTCGTAAAGAAATTTCTGTATGAAAAATGAAGGAAGTTCTGAAAAAATTCTGCAAGAAATTCTTCACATGGTAGCATTCGTTTCATTGCTTTACCGATTTTCTTCCGAAATTTCGGAAAAGAATCGAAGTTTTTTTAATTTTAGAAAATTCGGCAAAAAAATCGGATGAGATATTTACGAATTTCTTAAAATTTCTCTACAGTTCTGAATACTCTGAAAAAAATGGTTTGCAGGGTATGTACTTACATATTTACATATCGTTGATGAAATGTAGAAAGGCCCTAACAGAAATTTTATTCGAAATTTGTTTTTTTTTTTAATTCCCGAGAAGCTTTTACTAAACCCCATCTTCTCCAAACAACTCAACTCAAAAACCCTAACTGAACGAATGGCAATTTGTGAAAGCCAAAAGCCCTAACTGAAGTTTGAATATGCTACAAAAAATTTAATAATGCAATGAAACTTCCAGAAAAGGTGTATAATTTTAAGAGGTTTTGCATTTTTAAATAATTCCGAAAAATTCAAACATTTCGAATTCATCATAAGTAAAGTTTCGTTTTTTAACCGACTTCTAAAAAAGGAGGAGGTTATCAGTTCTTCGGAATATTTTTTTTTTTTTTTTTTTATGTATGTTACCGCATAACTTTGGACCACGTCAACCGATTTCGATAATTCTTTTTGCATCGGAAAGGTAGTGTCTCAGAGGTGGTCCCATACTAATCTGGTTAAGATCCGATCAGCGGATCATGAGATATATATATATATATATATTTTTTATGGGAGTTGAAGTCGGTTTTTTTTTCTAAAAATTACTAGTTATTTTATAAATTTTAACTTTTGGTTTTGAGCAAAAAGAAAATTTCAATTGTTATTTTAGTTGATAAAATACCGATAAAAATCCACTAAATACACTGGATCACAAATTTTAGTTTGGTTTTTGTTCTCCAGACGCCACTATCCAATTTCTTTGTAGTTAGAATTGCTGGGTGATTCCGAAAATCGAGTTAATTTTTTTCTATGGATACGTTATTAAGATATTTTCAATTTACCGTGTTCCTTTTAATAGCGTATATCTTACGCACCAATTTATCGCTTTCCGATAGGGCTTATAGTTTCTGGCAAATTAATTAATTCCAGCTTTTTTTATTTTTTAATGAAAAAATTAAAAAAATCAAACTTTAACAGACGAAAAATTTAAAGATTAACAGGTTCTGTGCCAAATTTTTGCATTTGTACTAAAGCCTGTTCTGTTACAAAAAAAAAAAAATCAAATTACTATGAAAAAAATCGATGGGTAAATAAGAAATAATGAGTGGTCAAATGAAAATACGCAAAGATTTTTTTTTATGAAAAATGAGTAGGAAAGAAAGTTACCCATAAGCCACGTACCCCTGAGTAACACGCTTTTCTACTCATAATTCATAAAAAAAATATTTGCGCATTTTCATTTGACCACTCATTATTTCTTATCCACCGATTTTCTTCATTAGTAACTTAATTTTTTTTCTAACAGAAGAGGATTTAACACAAATGCAAAGATTTGACACAGAACCTGTTATTATTTTAATTTTTCTTTTGTTAAAGTTTGATTTTTTTTCGTTTTTTCATTAAAAAATAAAAACAACTGCAATGATTAATTAATTTGTCAGAAACTATCAGTGCTATCGGGAAATAATGTATATATGGTTTATGGAGAATTTCATTAGCTTTCATTTGCCGTACTTTATATTAAGATTTTTGAATTGGTTCGTAAGATATACGTGATTAAAAGGAACTAATATTTACTTTAAGCTGATAAATGGTAAATTGCAAATATCTCGCAAACGTATCCATAGAAAAACAATTAACCCGAGAAATTTGATAGTGGCGTCTGGAAAAATATACCAGATATAGAAAAAAATTCAGCAAGTTAAAAAGTTTTTGACCGAATTTGTCAGTTTTTAGTAAGTTGATTGTTGAAATCAGAATTTTATAATTTCAAAAGTACATTCGTAGCTATATCTACTGAATTTTTGTGGAACAAGAATGGGTGTTTAGGGGAGAAACTATTATTTTTGAATTCGTCATGATGTGGCATCACAATTTTGTGAAGAAAAACTTATTCATTCCGAGATAAATAATTTACATGTAGAAATGGTTTTCCCTATTTAAAAGTATTAAATTGTAAAAAATGCCAAACCGGAAGCAATGTACCAAGCAAAAATTTAATCGCCAAATGAACCATCTGCTTAATTCGTGTTGTTGGATAATTTTGTCTTGAGAGATATATGTACATTACATACATATGTAACTTATACATACATACCACATTTCTACAACATCAAACTTCGCTTCCATATGGTACTCAAAAGTATTCTGTTGGGGCAAAACATGCATAATTATATATGTATGTAGATAAATATGTGTATACATATGTATGATTGTATAGTAAGCAGACGTAAAGCATGTATGTAATATCTATTATCTAACTATTGGGAAATCAAAACTAAATTAACATCTGTAGCTACTTACATTGGTCAGCTCGCCCCAACCGACTGGCCAGTACTCTCGCTTTTTCCATGGATCCGTTGGGTACGGTTCAATTGGCGTTCGATCACCGTGGCGGTAAAGCTAAAATAACCAATAGAAATAATTATTCAAAGATTTTGAAGGTATTGTTGACTTGTTAATTTACTAATGAGCTGTGAAATAGTCACTGACAGACATAAACTGGCATATAAATCGTCACTTCAAATTCTGTATTTACAACTTACCACATGTGCAAATATTAGTTTTCCTTTTAGAGCATAATTGCTGCCAATTTGTTGTTGGCTTTGGTTAGACGTGTCCGATTTCGCCAAGGTTAGGGCAGCGCGGCACAAAATTAAGAAGAACAGAGTGTGGAGCAGCCACATCGGCTTGTTGAAATTCGGTATTTTTGGCATAATTAGTGCAGGTATTTGCATTGCGGATTTTCTTGTTTTATTTTCTACTTTGCGTTCACACTCGTGTTTCGTGCACAGCACAACAACCTGCTTGTTTCCCAATGAACTTTAAAATAAACGTACAACCAATATAGGTATGTACGTGCTTCACAAAATGCACCGCAGTCGCTGGTTGGAGTTGGTAAATAAATAAATACTGACAAACATATGGATGCGAAATTTGTTAGTAGCCACTCCGCTGCGTGCCCGTTTTATGCCCCAGTGCCGTTTATGCCGACTAAGTGGGTGGCTTTATTTGCCAATTTTTTAGATATCGTCAATTTTCAGGCGTTTTATGAGTATGTAATGTATCATGCATACATAGCTCATGTACAATGCAAGTGGAAAATGCAAATTGATAAATTTAGCAGGGCTCAATTTGTACATATGTATGTATGTTTGTTTATATGTATGTATCTATAAAGGTTCTCGTACGTAATTCCGATGCCTACTTTGCGCCGTCTTTTTCTTCCAAGCCTTTGCTTACCTACTTAAACTCAAGAGTTATTGAAGTTTCGTATATTTGCCGACGACGCTGCTATTATGCGCTTTCAATGTCGCCATCGTTTCTACAAAGCATTAACCAATTAACGCAAATATCTTACAAAATATTAACTATTCCTCGATTCTTTTAATTTATGCGCCGCGACTACACATGCCTATTGCGACTTTGACATCGAACACAACGACAACAACTGACCGCACACACACTGGTTTGCCGTAGAGTCACCTCTCGTCGAGAATATGCACCAAACCGAAAATGCTCCTTTGTCGTTTCACCACTTCTCATTCACAAACGAATCAACAGATAAAAACCTTGAAGCACACAAGGAAAACGTCAGAAAACGGCTCTTTTGTTGTTTGGTATTTCAATTCACACGCTTGCTCGGTTTCTCGGAGCACCAAAATGGCAGAGATTAATGTTCAATGCCGTAGCTGTGCATTGAGTAGCGTGTGTGCTATGGCTTATGGTGGAGCGAGTGGTAGAATTGACAGTGGAGAACAGCAAAGGTTTAGCTAAAGAGAGCGTATGCATCTGTGTTGTACAATGGGAGCATGTGCTGATACCCCTCTTAGTTCATTCACTCAGTAATTTTTATTAAGATCTCAGCTACATATCGTCACCTCAGTGGAAGATCGACCTATCTCGGCAGCCAATTCGAATTACTTTCAGAATTTTATTGAAAAACTTCCTATCTCAAAATTTGATTAAGGAACGCCCTAGCTCATCTGAAAATACATTGAAAATGAGCTGAGATAGGGTGTTTTTCAGTCAAATTCTGAAATATGGGGCATTCTTCAAAGGTTCTCTGAGATAGGGTGGTTTCGAACTGGCTGCCGAGATAGGTCGATATTCCATACATAAATGCATTCATATGTATATAAGTACATACATACATACATATCGTCATTTAAAGTACAAAACCGCGTAACTGACATTTGCTGCCAAAAATTGGATTTGCTCCCAAAAGTTCTTGGCTCAAGCCTTATCCATTCGTCCTGAAATATATTAGCCAGAAATGCGATTGCTTAATAAAAAAAGAACCATTTTGAAATATGAATGCTTTGAGTTTGAGCAGTTTTGCATTATCTTGATACGCGGCTTTGTAGTACTTTAAACGACGATATTTCTCTGAAAAGTTTATATAAAAACACAAAAACACATAAAGTTATGTATATATGAAACAAATTTGCAGCGGCACCCCTCTTCAACAACCGGAAATACATATTTGTATAGAAATAATGCCGTTAAAAATAGTTGCGCGCCTAAAAGATGCAATACCAAAATAGTAGTTGTACACTAGGGTGGCTCTTATTATTCGGGGTTTATTTTGTTTGTTGTGGAAAGTCCTTAATTTTGAAATCATTACGTTCAAATCTTTCGAAATTTTAAAGATTTTATAACTTTTCATCTATCAATTACTATGATCCTGCCAGGCTAAGACCTGGCAAGTCAGTGATTTGAAGTTGCCCTAGATACAAGCTATTGAATTTTGTTTATTTGATTTGATTGTTTTCAATAAATTTCAATTTCGCTAACTGCTGCTGCAACAGTCGCAATGGCCCAGTGAGCAGAGCACTGGCGTGCTATTCGAGAGATCTGAGTTTAATCCTCGACCGTGGATATTTTCTTCTCCAATTATTATTTTTTTTTAATTTTTAAGTTCTATTGTTAAAAAAAATATATTTTAATTTAGTTTGATGTTTAGGAACTTTTTTAATTAATTTTTTTTACTCTCATTTTCTCAAGTTTTTAGTTTTTATTGTTAAAAAAACAAAGAATTTCCTTTAGTTTTTAGAAAATTTAGTACTAAAAAAATATAATAGCTTTTTCAGGCTTTCCTAGGTATGATTTTTAGAAGGCCGACCTAAATTATCTTCTGGGATGGTCTCAAGCAAATAAAATCCTAGCCACGATTTTTCCAAAAGTTGCACGCACGATGAACCAAAAAATTGGGTTATTGTTATTGGGCATCTCCTAACGAGAAACGGACTTTTCCGATCGAAAAATATTGATTTTCAAGAATTCAATACCATCGAAAAGTTCTTTTTCCATATAAAAACGTGTACAACTTCGAGCGCTTTGAGCGACCTTTAAATATTTTGACTTCGAAATAAAAATAAAAAATAGGGGTATATTTTTTTAGTACAGAACAGACAACAGCATGAGTTTACTCACTTCCATCTAAACAGTATGAACTCATTGCTGTGAACCAGAGCTGTAAAATGATTGAATCAATAGGATCTGCATTCACTCGACATTCTTTTAAAAATTTTGATTGTTTGTTTGTATAAAAAAAGCCTAATTCCTGAGTGGCTTAAAATGCTTGAAAACAAATAAACTGTGTTGTGTTTTTGAATGGTAGATTGACATTCAGTATGGAATGTGAATGTAACAGAAGCATTCGCACACACACATGATTGTATATTTAAAATGAATGCACACGTTTTTACCATTCAGTACTAATACTTTTTTCCCAGGGTTGATATATTTTATACTTTAAAGTTTAAACATATCTGGAATTGAAAAAAACATATATGTATACGTATGTATTTCAACGCGTATGTATAGACGTTTTCTGACATTAACCCATTGCTAATTACTGGTGCGAAATCAGTCCAAACAAACATCGCAACCGTCGAGCACAAAGGACACATCTTGATACATACATTTACATATATTAGATTGGAAACTAGTGAACTGTATAAAGAAATATAAAACAGTGTCAATAGAATTGAATTTTTAAAACTCTTGCTTGAAAAAACTTAAGAATTTCATTACCGGCATCTGTCCCTTCGTATTATAGACTTTTAGAACTATAAAAGGTCTATTCTGCACGTAACCGAAGATTTTGTAACCGGAAAATTTTATTACCAAAAAATGTTACCTGTTCATGTCACTGCGATTCTAGGAACGTTGGTAATGCTATATATTCAGCAATTCAGCCATGAAGAATTGTGGAAATTCTGGCATTGCATATTTCACGGGGCGGGGCAATATTTTGTTACCAGCTTATGAGATGGTAACAAAATTTACCGGTTACAAGAGTACACCAATTGCGAAAAGGGTTTAAAAATTGATTGTAGACATTTTTTCGCAGAATATAAGTATATATAAATTTAATTTATATGATTTTTTTTCTATTAATTTTTTTCTTCAGTTTTCAAATTTGAAAACTTTCAAAACGAAATTTTATAAGGGTTCTTGTTTTCTTTAAAGAGGGGTTGAGGAGTTACATTGTAAAATTTTTTTTATTAATTATTAATTAAAAGGTGTACTACTTAAACATATTTACTACGCACTTCTGCAGTAAGGTACTATAACTTTTCTCACGTAAAGGATATTTGGAACAACCAAAATCGAGATAGATATATACTACATTTATGTACATATGTATGTATATACCGTAAATGGCCAGAATAAAAAGAGAAGTTGATTAGTCCATCTCCGTCTGTCTGTCTGTCCGTATGTTTGTGTACACGATAACTCTAGGAAAAGTTGAGATATCGGAAGAAAATTCAGTACGCGGGTTTCTCTTTATGCAGGGCAGAAGCGTATTGAAAATACAAAAATTAAACAATAACCTGGTCCCTCCCATAAAACGGTAATTTCGAAAAATTCAAAAAATTTAATATTTCCTTTATTACAGAAAACAAATTGCTAAAAAACTCACATGTTTATTATTATACATTTTTGAAAAATGGGACATATTTCTAACTTTTGAAATCAATTTGCTCAAAACATACATTTAGAATAATGTTTTAAGAAATAATTAC